TGCCGTTCAAACAATTAGTTAAGTGTGAAAGTTTACAGGGATATCAAAAGGATTAGCATAGAAGCTTGCTCAAAGCAAGGAAGCAAGATCAGCAGGAGGGAGGTTTGGGGGGGTACAAAACAAAATGCATAAGTAGCTTTTTAATAGAATCAACATGGGGCAAATGCATTTTCTATCACAGTTAAAAAAAAAAAAAAAAAGACTTAATTCATCTTGGCATAAATCCATTTGTGTTAGTTTTCTTATAACTGGTCTGAAGTTTCTCATTTGGGACACTGTTATACCTGTCCTCAACAGCTGTCAGGCTAAGCAAAGCTAGGCCTTCCTCCGCACAGAAATTTCACCAATTATGTTAGCAGAGGTCGTCCAAGTAGCCCCTCTCCTGTTCGTTGCACTCCAAATATTCTTTCAAAGGATACAAGGGAGTCTGGTGCCCTCCCCATAGAGGGGCCATCCGGGTTGTAAGAACAGCTGTCTACAGCCTCACACTCTGAAGCAACCCAACTCAGCAGACAACCCTTGTATAAATCCAATATTTGAGCTCAAGTTAAGCCTCACACTCCAGCCTGTACAGACAGAGTGCTTTTTCACTAAACATTTGCACTTTCCTTCTGTTAGACAGGCAGCAGTCCAGCCTTATCTTTCTTCCAGGTCCTACCCTGGAGCCCACCACCTCACCTACCTGCCAGGAAGTACCCTTAATACATACTAGCTCCATCCTGGAGCACCTAAAGAATTAACCCCACTTATCTCAAGTTGTCTGTTTATGCCCTATACCCACCCTTATTTCTCTTCCTCTCTTATCTCTACTTGCTTTTGTAATTTCCTTCCTCCCTTGCATTTGATGTGGTTACATAGCCCTTGTCAGCCCTCATCTCCTCCATCTGAGGAGATGAGCATTGGCACACCTGAGCCTTGACCCTCTTAAAGGCCCTTAACACCAATGCAATCATAGTGCTTTTACCCCATGCTTCTGGTGACATGGAAAGGTCACGTAGCCAAACCCAAAGAAAACATTGTGTCTTGCATTTTCCAGAGCAGGGATTGTGCTCCAGAACAAGTAGTCAATGGGATGTGACTTTGGCGGAAATCTGTGGCAAAGCTGAATACTGAACCTTGTTTGCAGATACCTCCCTAACACTTGTAACCACAAAAACAGCTTCGTTCTCAAGCCAACGCTGCTTCCTCTTTTTTTTTTTTCAGCATTTCACAAACCTTAAGGTTCCTACTAGGTCTGGAAAATAGAAACAACAGTGCTGCCACAATGTTGGGTCTAGTTTCACTTGATTTCTCAACAGCAATCTCATCCCGAGTTGTTTACATCACTGTGCCTTGGCCCTCAAGGTTACCTATTTGAGGAGGTTAATGCTGCCCTGTTGAAACAGGTTAATGAAATAAATCATGTGAACAGTAATCTCTTGCGGGGTGCTGTCTGGGTACTGGCACTAGCAGGCAGGCAAACAACTGTGTTATTCTCAAAAATAAATTATCCCCCCAAAATAATCTTTTTCCTCTCAATAAGAAAGTACTGCCATAATCCTGCAACTATTCATAATCCTGCAATAAGCCAGGTCAGGAAGATTTACATGGCAGCTTTTCATGTGTATTGAACTCGTGTCAGAACACTGCAAGTTCACTTGTGCCTTTACATGCTGTGATGCCACTGAGACAGCTTCTCATGCAATCCTTCTTTGTTGCATTTGTTCTCTAATCTAATGAATGGTGAGCAGTTAGTACATATGAGATAATAACGTACAAGTAAACAATCTGTTTTTTCAGGTAAGACCTTGGTTGTTGGCAGCCAACGGGAATTCATTTTAAAGGCAAGCTGAGAGGCAGTCTGTTACACTGTTGTCTTCAGCATGCTACTTTAGTATTGTTGCCTATAGTAAGCAAGACTGGGGCACTGGTAGTGAAGCCCAGCCTGAGTACTCTTAACATCACTGGAAAGCCTGACTTTGACATCTTTTTCTTACCTGTGATTGCATATATTGAACAATTCTACGACAAACACTTGTGACTTGCTTCATAGGAGCATCTCCTGAGGCAATGGAGCAGTCCCCTTGTCCTGCTCTCCTGGGACTGAATTTTCCTTCTAGGAAAGCTACTACAGATATCTCTGCGCTACGTAAGTCAAACCTACTGAGTTCAACAGGCTGCGTGTAGCAGCTTGCAAAACTGGGCCTTAGTAGTAAGAGTGAAACCAGTGACAGTTGGCCCCAGGGAGCCGTTGCTTATTACTTTCCGATAGTGTCCAGGACATTCTCCCTGCTTTCCAAGTAGTGAAGATGTCATGTCACTCTCCCTGACCCATGGTGTTTGTAATGAATGATTTTCAGTCAGAGCTGATTTGAGATGGTGCAGCATTGGTGTCCTAGTGAGGAAAGCGCACATTTCAACGTCAGGCCTATGACTAAATCACTCTCCCCTACTGTCAATTTAGTAATGATCTATTACCAGCATAATCTCCAGGCAGAAAGCTATCATTTCCTTTCCCTTCAATGCCTTTGAGCCTTTCTTTATGAAGAAGTGAAGAAAAATCTTTTCTAGCTAAAATTGATTCTGCAAGGGGACAGACTAGGCCACCACTCTAAGTGTTTGCAGGTACTAGTTTTCTCTGAGAGCATCATGGAATTCAGTGCATCCACACCACCACTACCCTTGCCTTTGGAAATTATTGCTAAGTCTGAAAAGGCATCAGTGACACTTGAAAATTCAGAACAGTGTCCACAAAGTAGAAGCAGGCAGCCCAACTCCTTCATAGCTGAAACTCATAGAGATCAGCAAAACAGAATGGTGAACTCCATCCAGAGTACCAAACAAGTCTGCAACAGACTTCCAGGCACATCACTGCTCATATACAAAGCTATCAGTGACAACTGTTTCATAAAGTTATGGAGGAAGAAAGCTTAAAATGCTTTGATTTTGCATTTGGAAGAAATATTCACTGTGCAGAGGTTTTAGCATGTTTTGTAAAACATGTGTGAAATCTTGGAGTAGACCTGTCCCCAGACCTTCACAAGGAATACCTACAGGATGATTATATAAAATACATTGGCTCCCTGTGGCAGTGTAATGAATACTGTATTTTCAGTGCTTTCTCTGAGAGCTGCCCTCAAAAGTTTCTTCTCTAAACTGTTTACCAAATGAGCTGTCCTTCTCTTTCTCAAAGCAAATTGAGCGACAGCAGTTTTCACCAAAACGATACACTTTCAGGAAGGAATTTAATGGTGACAAGAGGACACCCAACAAAGGATCAGATCTGTAACTCAAGGTTTAACAGGTCATAGGGAGAAGATAGAGAAAAATAGGGGGAAGAAAGAAGTTAGTCTAGATGTAGCTGTAGTCCTCCCCTCATCCCAGTAGCCAGCAGCTGGCACCACAGGCTTCAGTCTCATCCCGCAGGCCTGGGAACAGCAAAACTCGTGGAATAGCTCGGTGACACTGAAACAAATTCCTTCGTGCGTGGAAACACCCTGCTGAGTGCTGACAGGGTAGTTCCTTCCTGTGAAAACATTGACTTTGCTCTTGCAGCAGTCCAGCAGGACAACATTGCAGGATGTATGGGGGTTACCTCATGAAAACCAGATCCAAACCTCCCTCTTTTTCAGTGATCTGAAATGGAGAAATCAGCAAGGAAAGAAACACAGGTATACCTGTACCCCTTCCAATGCCAAACCACAGCCATTACCAGTCTGACAGAGAACTAGAGCAAACATGAGCAGTTTTCAGTAGCACCACAAAGCTCTCCATGCTAGGACTTAAGAGACAAAGTAGATGAAAGGTATTGGCACTGTTACCTCCTGAAACTCTTTCTTACAGCAGGCAAAGGGCAGCAAGGGTTAGTTGCTTAAATCATGGCCATTTTGAGGTCTGAGGATCTTTCAATGGCTTTCTCCCTTGGCTGCTGTAAAGTAATGGGCACTTTCTCTCAGTACACCACAGGGAGATAAAATAGTTTTTCCTACTTGGATTTCACCCATCTCTCCTCTCAGAAGTACTTGCCGTGCTTTGTCCAATGACTCATAACCAACATAGCTATATCAGCTAGTGCTTTTTTTTTTTTTTTCTAAAGCAACTATGTTAGAAAAGCTTCACAGTATAGACTGTTCCCAGACACCTCTTTTTGACATTACTTGCGGAGACTTGGCATAGGAAGATCATCACATGTGCTACTTGCACTCTACCAACTTACAGTGACAGGCAAAGACTGCTGCACAAGTCAAGACAGGTTGCCTGCCAGAATCGTATCTTAGCAGAAGATACTTAATAAAACCAAAATTTACTGTCCTCCCAAGCCGATGTGTTCTTCTGAGCACACCAGAGATCAGTTTCGGTTCTCCAAAAATACAATTCTCCTCATTAATTAGTTTCTTTTTGCTCAGATCAAGGTGATTCATATTCTTATAGTTCAGCTACCCCCAGAACAACTATTCAGTATGAAGATCACCTTTGCATTGACCTTAGTGTCCCATGAAGAGCAGGATGCAGTTTTGGGTTTTTTTTTGTTACAGATTCTATGTTAAGCATGCGGATGTAACATGAAATTCAGGCATAGTTAAGCATTTTATTGGTAGTGTCCCTAGATCTTGGAAATCTGACACAGCAATGAAATCAGTACTTCAGATGTTTACAAAAACTAATTACTACAACTAGCTCTGAAATGATAATGTTTCTGAACTAATTCAGACCTGCTGTCCATTCAGTTTCACGTGTTATGGAATTGATTAAACAGATCCTAAAAAATAAAATCTTTTTATTGCTGAATAGACAGGAGTCTTTCCTGAGTAAGTAGGATCGAAAAATAGTATGGAGATGAACTTAAGTTAACATCAGGTAGATTCAGCTTCCACATACCGTTCAAGAAACAGGAGCATCATAAAAGTCACACACCTGTTTCAGACATAGATAAACATGAAAGCTTTGTCAGAGCTATTTTAAGAAAAGCTGTCTGAATCCCATAGGACTTGTATAGTTATAGTAATAAACTCAAAAACCCATTTAAAACAAAGAATTTTAATAATTTCTCTATAACAAATAATTAATCAAATAGGCCGAATCCCATGTCATCATCAGATTCTTCAGATTCCTCCTTCTTCTCTTCTTTCTTCTCCTCAGCTGAAGGAAAGAAAAGACCAAGCCAATCATCAGTATTTACATTTGCTGCACCACAGATTTTCAAGATACACAGTTTGCTGTTCCCAGCTTCCATATTACTGGTATTTCAACCTCCATGGTTCATCTCATTTCCTTTCAATAGCCAAATATAAACACTAAGGGGACACAGACACTACTATTGAAGGGATGTGCTTTACACAGTGAAGTCAGTCTGACTCTTCGTTCTAAGCCAGACCAATCTTAAGGTGGATAAAGAGCTAACACTTCTGATTGCCCAAAGGAAAACTAATTGTTCAGGTTTTTGCTTCAATCACATAGTGAACTACCAAACTGGAAAAGCCTTGAAATTTGGACTCGATTGTTAATATTTTAACAGAGAAAAATGGAGCTGCCCTGTAACAATGCCTCTCCACCCATACTCACCAGCAGCAGGGGCAGCAGCTGCAGCAGGAGCAGCAGAGCCCCCTCCAGCAGAGACTGCCACAGCTCCCCCAGCTGGCATGCTGGCAAGTTTTCCATTACCTGAGTGGGACAGAAGAGTAAATGTTCATCGCAAGAACACAGGTAAGATGAAAAGGAAGAGAAATCAGAGCGCAGGAAAAACAGATAGCGTATGTCATGGACTGAACCTGTCACTGTTAGCTGAAAGGAACAAGAAGCTGCAGTCATGATATGAAAGTATAAGCTATTTTGTGAAAAAGGACTCAAGAATTTAAGATTCACAAAGGCTTATCCTGAGAACAGACAGCATATTGTTTGTGAGTTCTCTTGTACTCAAGTCCCCTGTTTGTTTTTCCAAAACTTTCATATAAAAAGTGTCAAACACATATAATTTTACACATACAGAAAAAACTGCATGTTTTCTGAATACAGCGTAATAGCGCAGAAACCATTTCAATATGCCTCAAAAATGACACATAGGCAGCACTGGCTTCCCCACTTCCCACTACCCTGTCCTGGTTTCAATTAGGATAGAGTTAATTTTCTTTCTAGTAGCTACTGTGTTTTGGATTTAGTATGAGAATAATGTTGATAACACACAGTGTTTTAGTTGTTGCTAAGTGATGTTTACATTAGTCAAGAAATTTTTCAGCTTCCCACAGAAGCTGGGAACGAGCACAGACAACACAAACTGGCCAAGGGAATAATCCACACCTCAGATGTCATGGTCAGTGTATAAATGGGGGTTGGGCAGGAATCCACCATCACTGCTCAGGACAGGCTGAGCAACTGATCATCAGGTAGCAAGAGCAACTGGTGATGTATCACTTTATTTTGTGTATCATCTTACCATTATTATTACTGTTTCATTATTCCTTTTTCATTATTGTTCTATTAAACTGTCTTTATTTCAACCCATGAGGGTTTTTTTTTCCCCCCTCCTTTTGAGGGGCAGTGTAAGCAAGCAGCTGCCTGGGGTTAAACCACAACTCCCTTTTTTATTAACAGTATAGAGAACTGTGAGGGCATGACTGGATCACACTCACAGAAAAGGGGAAAAATGTATTTATGGCAAAGAGTACAGTATTTAAAACAAATTCTATGAACCCCGTTGCATCTCCTTTGAGACTAGCAAACTGATTCCTGATTTATGCCTGTCTTTGGAAAGCTGGCTAGTTCTCTGACATCTGCCTTTCACATACCAAGGCTCCCCTGGCATTCAGAGGTCGTGTACACAGTATGTTTGCCTGTATTCCCAATTTCTGGGAATCAGTTTCTAAATAATTCCCTGTTACTTCAAGCCCTAATAAAATAGCCAAGTAAACAAACATGTTTCATATGCATGTCAGTATGTTCTAAGAATTTATTTAAAGAAAAAGTATTACAGTATTATAGGTGTGTTGTAAGCACATGCATAATGGCTCTCTTAGGTCTTCAGACCACACGGATAGAAATGTCCAGTTACTGCTCATAACAGCAAGGCCAGGCAAAGTCCTGGCAAAACTTTAAGCAAATATATGCCTAAAAGTTCCCTTGTGCCTAGGCACTCACAAAATAACAGACACTAATTAATCAGAAACGTTTGCGCTACCTCAGCTCTGCTTTATTTAATGTTAAAATTTTCAGCTTTAGTAAGAGCCAGGAGGTAGGAGCACAAGCTTCTACAAAAGCCAGCACTCAAGAGTCCTATCTTAGAGAAAAGGAAATGCCAGACTTGGGGAGCTCTAAAAGACATGTACTGGAAGGCTGGTAACTGTACTCTTAACGTGAACTGACACTTACTTACATTTAACAGTCTGTTCTTCCTGTTTTACATAATTGGTGCATACAAGTGGGTAAACGCAAGGAAAAAATCTCCCAGAGAACTTGAAGGACAGCTAATTCTTTTGCCAATCAACATGTCCAGAAAACTATGTCATGAGCAGACTACCAGTAAGCTCATACATGCCTAAGTTTTCCAGTTCAATGTGGTCCACAAGCGAAACCCAGCAGGTACTGGCACTGACCTGCAGGGAATTAGAATGGACCTGAACTTCAGTCAGTTCAGCCGAGATCCAGCATGGAAGTCCTCAACCACAAAGCTAAACTGATGAATAATCAGTGAGTTGGCCACAATTCTACACTTTCAGGTCTAAGTTCCCAAAGTAGTAGAGGCAATTATCTGTGACACTCAGAGACTGTACTTACCCTGAGCAATGACATCCTCAATGTTTTTTCCATTCAGCTCACTAATAACCTGTGTAATTTAAGTTTAGAACGTTAACAGTTTCAAAGCAGCATAAGTACAAGCTACATTTAAACCAGTACTGATTAATCATCACATACAATGCTTCCATCCTGCTGCTTATACAGCCCTAACATTCCTTATTTCTCAGTGGAAAGAACAGGATATTGAAATGAAAACTTCAGCTAAGTCTTTCATACTTTTCTGTGAAAGCTTTTTCATTAAATCTATTACAATAAATTCATAATGAATCCAAGGACCTTGCAGAAAGAAGGATACCCAGATGTTGTGGAGCCAATTAGGAAACCCCACTAATGGTCTGTTAGTCACTGAGGGACTGTTAACATATCTTGCTTAATACCAATGGGAGGCTCTGAAGCACTCAGCCCTAGAGCAAAAACCACAGGGTCGTGTTCCCAGCGTTACCAAATGTTATAGCCAAGCTGGCTATTGTATTGTTGCACAGGAACAGAGAGTCCCAACTTCAATTATACTACCATTGTTGTATAACCAGGGATGAGGAAAGCAAAATACAAAACAAATAATTGCTGATGCAAGCAAGCACTTATTAAAAAAAAAGAAAAAAGAGGATGCCACAGACCTTACTGGTGAGTCCCTCTACCACGAGTCAGTGCTGAGCACTGCAGAGCCACCAAAGCCAAAGGACTTTAACCAAGAGCTTTTCAACAGGCACCTCCTGCTTACACAGAGAGTGCAATCTGTGAAATGCCGCATCTATATGCTTCCTTCATCCAGAAAGGTGTTTTTAAGGCTTCACTAGATTTACACTGGCGTAAGACACAGCCAATAGAAATGGCTTAATTAATCGTGACCAAAACAAATTCCAGAGCAGCTTTCTGGATATTGGAGGATCAGAGAAAACAACTAATTTATGAAGGTATTAAATAAACATAAACAAGCCAAAGCCAAAAGACTTGGTGTTTAAACATGAGAGTTCAAACCAACATCCCAAAACATAATAAGGATGCTGTCACCTCACTCAACCCATCATTTGGTTAGGCCTATGGTAAAACACTGCCTCCAGCTGGGAAAGTAACTTGTTTTTCCTTCACCTCTCTAGAAACACTCTGCATACAAGTATGGGCCAGATGATAAGACCATTTTTGGGGTTCTTTTTTTCCAGCCATTTAAGTCCACAAGACTGAAGGTCTAACATACCACAGGAAGCATTCTAATGAAGATACTCTCTTCTTAAAAAGCCTTTTTTTCTAACACAATCATTTCAAAAAACTTCCTACATATTATTATTGAATACCTTTAACATCCATGTAGTAATTTGCCTATGTTTCTTGGTGAAGGAACAAATGCTTCTTTGCAGTACACTAAGTAAGAATTTATGACTGAATGTCAGGCCCTCTAAAATGTTAGCTTTGAATCCATACTGACCAAAAGCCAAAATTAAACATGAAGTGCAAACAACACATTATATCAGAATAGAACTTACTTTCAATACATACTTATCTGTAGCCACCACCCCATTGAAAATTATTACATTGAACAGTCAGTAATCAGCAGCAACTGACAAGAGATCTTTGCGGAGGACAGGTATTAAATAAGAAAGCCAGACTTCTACAGAAACATTGTAAAAATAGTTCTGATCAGTTAAGCAGTGTTTCAGAAATCACACGTAACGATCAGCAAACACCTGAACAAAGTAAGACTAGAAAAACAGCAAGGCAATTGAAGAAACACCGAAGCCAAGGAAACAGCTCCAATGTCTGATGCTGACTGGGACATGACCATCTGGAATTAAGAGCCAATGGCACCTTGTTCATGCGTTCATCATCTGTCTCAATGCCAACGCTGTCGAGGATCTTTTTCAAGTCCTTTGACGTGGGAGACTCATTGCCACCAAGGACCGCTAGAAGGTAAGCTGCAACGTAACGCATCCTGGAAAACAAGAGAATTGGACCTTCAGTGCTAATGATCTAGTTACATGTTCAGAGAAAGCTTATCTCCTCGTTGGGGGGAAGCAAACCTGTTCCAGCTACAATCGTTGTGCTTTACTTTTAAATGAAAACCCACGGCACGCGAGGCCGCATACCAGTCTCCTGCCAGCACGGACCCCCGCCTGTGGAACACCGCAAAACCCCGGCGGCTCCCGCCCTGCGCCGGTTCAGTGGTGCTGCTGCTGCCCGAGCGCCCGAGCAGCCGGCTCGGCCTACCGCTGCCGGCACCCACAGCTCTCCCAGAGGAAAGCGGCACCGAGGCCTCTCGAAGACCTCTTCGCCCCCCTGGACGGCATGCTCGCCCCGGCTCTCCGCGGCGTTCGCCTAAGCTCGTCCTGTCCCTCCCCAGGCCCAGGCGGAGGCCCAGGCCGGGAGAGCACATGGCTGCCATCTCCTCCACCCTCCCGCTCGAAGTGGTCTCTCCCAAGCCCCGCTGGCGAGAGCGGGTGCGCCGGGAGCGACCATTTCCGCGGGGGAGGGAGGGGAAGGGACCGCCGCGCGCTTACTTGGGAGGAGGCGACGGCGCGGGAGACAGGCCTAGGACGTGCGCTCACGATGGCAGCCCGTCGGCAAAAGGGAAGGGGTGGTGCCTCAG